CTAGGAAACATTGTGTTGCGATCCGACTTCGTTACGGTCATGTTCAATGCGGCGTTACAATGCGCGCGTCATATGCGCGTATCTGATTATCCGCCGACGATATTATACGCCGACGAATGCCGGAGTGCCGTAACAAACGTCGGTGCGAGTGATTTCAAGCAAGCTGACAGAGCGCACCTGTTGTGTCCCTTGCCGCGACGTCTTCTTTCCGTCTAGCGCGTCTGTCGTTTTCAACGCGCGAGTTACGTTAACGGTATATCGACTTGTGCGACGATATTACTCGGAAATCGTTCCCCTCCTCCTCCGGCGAACCCACCGTAATTGTCTCCCAATTATTCGCATAAGAGCGAGCGTGGAATTTCGATTTTCTTGCTCGCTGCGTAGAACAATAATAAGATGACGCATATTATCACAGCATTTTCCTTCTAATCACTCAAAAAAGTGATAAAAAATATTTATATTAATTTTATATTTAGCAGAGAATAGAATAAAAAAAGAAATTTTTTTTTTTTTGAAACACACTAGAAAAATAGACTAATAATTTATATATAGCTTGATAACAACGTTGTTTGATTATGATTCGCGAAAACAGGAAACATAAAGAAAATACCACGTTGTTTGAAAATAATGTTAGGAAGAAAATTAAAATTTCTAAATTCTCGATTGCAAAATATCGGACGGGAGTAAATTGCGATTTGTCGAAGAAAATCCGACGGCCTATCCACGAGATGCACGCATGCAACCGCACGGGTATCGCGGTCGGAAACGTTCGATGCCCCTTTCACCTCTGTGAGAAGCGCTCGTGGGGACCTTTATTCCGCACCTTTCTTCCGACTCGGTCTCCTACCGAGATGGAAGTGGCGCGGGAGAAAAAAAATCTCAGCGAGATTACGTAAGATGTATGGCGAGGCAGCTCTTCGAAGACGAGAAACGGGGTACGATCGGGGAACCAGCAACGAGCAACGACCGGAACTAGCGAGGAACAGTGGCACTGAACTCTCGAAGGGGGAAAGAGACGAAGACGTCGTCGACGACGAAGTAGACGCGGCGTCGAAGCGCGTCGCGCGAGGGAAGAGATTGCCTTCCGAGACTAATGATAGACTGGATTTTAGTGTGGCTCGTAGCATCAGCTGCAATACGTGTAATGATGATAATGATAATAATGATTGTAATAACGATGGCTAGCCTCGTGCGCGGGACGGTCGAGTTCGCCAGAGTACTTTTTTTCTTTTTTTTTTTTTTTTTTTTTTTTTTTTTTTTTTTTTTTCGCTAGGACGAGGATCTAACATTATATATAATCCCGTAGCTCAACTACCTGACGTAACTCGACGCGAGATTGAACGCCGCAACGAGAAATTACATCCCGTCGAACATATATTCTCGTCGGGCAGATTCTACATCCAATGTGATAATTAAAAGCACGGATTTCGTCCAGAGGAAACAAGTCCCGAATAATATTTTCCGATTGTGCCATTATGTAAAAAAGCATCCTGCTAATCTTGCTGGTTATTTTATGGGCGAGAAGCTCTATTTTTTAATTATTTCCTCGTTCAATATATTGTGTAAATTTTATTGACTCAATTTAGTACAATAGTTTCCGGGTCGATGTCACGCTGCGCCGGCACGAGATGAAGAAAAGATTCTTGCGTCGTTTACGTTCTCGTGCCATCAGACCTCGATGACAACAATTGAATCGAAGAGACCTCAATGTCTTGGAGTAATTCAGACAAAACTATTGACGCAGGTAGCTATTTTCAGGCACGTGTTCTCTCTGACGTATTTCACTATAAGAAAGATTTCAGCGCGTGGAAAACAGATATATCGTCGTCTAACTGTGCGTTTTTATTCTCGAGCCAATCGACGTGAGCTTCTGATCCTTTACATTTTTTAATGAAAAAAATGAAGATTTAACTAGAACTTCTTTTTTACACGAGAGATTCCATATTTGGTATTAAATAAAATCTAGATGTCGCGCGGTAAATAATATGGAATAAATATTACATATATAACGTACACATTATCATCCGTATACAATTAAGTTTTCAGTAAGTGTTATATAAATTGCGCGTAAAATAATATAGCTTCTCGTGGAAGGAGCGGAGAAACGCTAGTTTTATGATCGCGTCGCGTATATCGGATCGTCGCATGTTCTTCCTCTCTTTCTCACTCTCTCTCTCCTGCTCGAGAGAGAGAGAGAGAGAGAGAGAGAGAGAGAGAGAGGGGGATATGTAACAGTCACTCCATACTCGTTTGGTAACGTAGCCCGTCTCACACAACGGGCTGCAATAATTTCCCCTACCTGGCCGCAGACGTTTACGCGACTGCAGCAAGTACACGTGCGCGCCGCGGCGTTGCATAAGTGCTCTTCTCTCCTCGATCGCGACCTTGACTTTGACTTTGACTCTTGATTACGATCGCGACCAAGTAGCGGCGGTTGCCACCGACGTACGACATACGCGCGGTTTCGCAAGCCGAGCGTATGGGCGGATAAACCTCACCTCTCGCCTAGATACCTGCGTTGTTGCATCGCCCGACCGAGTGACTGCGAAACTGCGACTCTGGTAATTGTAATTTTAATCGCGTAGAACTTAGAACTGGGTGCTACTTAATTTTTATAATAAAAAAGCGAAAGGAGAAAATAGCGAAAAAAGATGAATAAATATTTATATTCACTTAAATAAATTTTAGTTATTACTTTAGTTGGTTTCTCCATTTAATTTTAATTCTTTAATTTTATTTATAGATCTCATATTGAATATAAGAATTTATTTAAATAACAGAGGCAGGCGAATAATTTATATTTGAATAATTTATTGTTTATATCTAAGTAATTATTTGTTATATATTTACACGTGCCTTTATTGATTTTTTATACTTGACAGAATGTAATTTTTCGGTAGATAACTTTTAGAGTAAAATACACACAATGTATATAAAATTGAAGATGCGGCATTCAATCGTTTTAAAATAACCGCATAAAAATAAGTAAAAGAAAAGACAGCAAAAAAAGGATATAAGAAAAAGGCTACATATCTGGTAGCAGAGTTGTGGTGTGTATTGTGGACACTTTTATTGGTTTAGAAACTGCAGATACTACTACAAGCGTGAAAGATATTATATCAAACACAACTTGTAATAATATGTGTATCATTCTTCAAAAAGAAATTTTTAGGAAAAGGTTACAGTAGCCAAATAGTTATCGAGGAAACGTTTAAAAAGGAGAAAGTAGATTCTCTTCTGGTTGGATCACTTTGACCAGAGAATATTACATGATTCTTAGAACTTGAGTAACATATATTCATTCTGGCGTCTTTAAAATGACGTCATAAAACTGTTGTACAAGAAAAAAATTGCTCTTTTATATATTTTTTTTTATTAAATAAAATATATTTAAAAGAATTTTGGAAATTTAACTTTTTTAATCTTTTAGCTATGACAAGCGTTAACTGACAATGAGATTCGTCCGTTTTGTGCGAGACAATAATCGTATATATACATTTTTTTTTTCTTAACGATCGAACATATACATATATATATATATATATATATAGGTATATATATTGCCTTCCGCGCAATTAAAAGATTAATTGAGGATATTAAAAAAATTGTGATTCAATAAGATACACAGAGATACACAATATATAGTTACAAGATAAACTTTTGGAAAAGTATTCTTCAAAAGTATGGTAGGGGACCGTACATATATTAAAATGGAAAAGTGAGTCTTAATCAAGAAAGTAAAATATATTCAATAAAAAAGAAAAACTTGACATTGCCTGTTAGTGCAACCTTTTATTCATAACTGCAGACGCAACAATCTAAAAAAAAAGGCTAGAAAATATAAACAATTATCAATTCCTTGAATGCAACGGAAAGTATACGAATGCATATATGTATACTATGCAATACAATTTTATCACAACATCGTTTCTCTATATAATGATATACGTCGAGAGAAATGCAAATCGATCGTTTGAGAATATGCGTCGAGTGGCATGAGGTACTTAAAAGATATCCATAAAGACAATCTTACGTAAACTTATTACATAATTTATTCTACATGTGCTGCTGTGTGTTCTTGTTCATGCCATTTCTAATTGCACGAATTCTTTATTCAATGCCAAGGATACCGACCATCAGAGAAAAAAAATTTCTGGTAATTTGCAATTTTTCATGACTAGACAAATAATTTTAATATTATTAGAAATAATAATATATGTCTAACAGAATAAAATATATTAAGATATATAATATATATATATATATATATATATATATATATATATATGTATATAAGAAGAGTACTAAAAAGATTTTTTATAATAAAAAATTATAACATATATAAGAGTTATTTATATTTTTGTCAAGTTCTCGTTTGAGTTTTTACAAGTTGAAATAGTGCAGATACTGCAGATTTAATCGATCAAAATCTTCGTGCCGCGAAAACAACGCGAAAGGAAATGTTTTATGCATGACCAGCAGACAGAAATCTTTGAAAGATAAATAAAGCACCGATCTCTCTTCTTTAGGACATTTCATTTTGCTCTACCTGCCCTTTATACACCTTCCTCGGTCAAGAGATATACGATCGAAGTTGAACGCAGTGATTTATATGCAACGTCATTATGAGCGCTCCGAGATGTGTATTCGTTACTTGGCACAATGTTTAATTATGGTAATCGAGGCTGCAACATTTAATTATTTCTTTAAGGAAAAATATCAATAAAATTCATTTAAGATAGATTGTACTCTGAATATTTGTATAAATATAATATAACACTATCACGCATATGACATTTAATCATATAATCATATAATTTTATTCATATATTGATTAAACTCAAATTTTATCGTATATGTATTATACAATTTCCAAGATCGTGAAAAGGAATGCGTTTCGATCACGTTTCGAGATTTCATCTACCGAATATCCCTCCCCCGTGAAGAAGGTCGTAAACGTTCTCGCCCTCGAACAGGTGCTGGATATAATTCATGTCACTGCTTGTTCTAGATTGAAATTGATTAAATAAATGTTTGGTCTTGTAGATACTCAATGCCTGCACAAACATTATACTAGTATATATATTTTCCTTTGCTGGAGAATCAAATTTTTTCATAATGCATTTGTTTATTCTTCTAATATCTATCTTATTCTTGAATAGACATATACGATAAAAAAATTAATTTTGCTCTAAAGTAATTTAATAAGTATGAAAATAAGATAAAATAAAAAAAATTAATTAATTCATGATTTTTACGAGAATGAGAAGGCTAGAGAAGGAGAGAATTGATTACCCGGAAACGCGTTCAACAGTAAAACGCTAATTCGATCAAGAGGTGTAACCAGGGACGGAACAACTAGTTTCCCTAGAAGAAGAAAAAGAAAGAAAGAAGGAAACAATGCAGTCTCCTAACGAGAAAGAAAACGAGGGCTCTGCGAGCGCACGCGCTCTCAGGACATATACCGTGTGTGACACACGTACAATACTCCGTTATGCGCATGCGCGAGAAGCGGTTTTCATCTCGGAGGATCGCAGGCTGAATAGTCCCGCTGGCTGGCTTATGTTCTTATGGTGGGATGAGAAGGAGGGCCAGTTGACGGTCACGATGGTGGGAGACGAAGAAATCAACGGGGTCCGTGCGCGTTGCTCAGGTAGATAGGTAGATAGGGGCGAGGGGCGGAGGTCGAGGGACTGGGATGTAGTAGGGAGGAACAGGCCGAGAGTACGGGGCCTGCACTACTGAGCTAAACACTCACGGATTCAGTAGCTTACGAGAGGCCTCATGGTTGAGTTTACGGTCGATTCGTGCTGCCTGTTGGAAACGGAGCTGTCGAGAAGATAACTGTAAATTCGCCGAGTGCAGGAAGTGACAGGCGTGTATGGACCTAGGTATCCTGTACCTATACGAGTACCGGTTAAAAATTCAGTTCGCGAGTGACACTTTAATCGAACATCAAAATTTTGACTGGGCCCTGTTCGGGCTTCCGGCAATCGGGTTGCTGAACAGTGAACCTGTCATTTGATTTGTGAAAAAGAGTTCTTTGCGTCCACGTGTGGATCTATTCACATTCAGCTTAGAATTCATTCATGTAGATCCTCGATGATTCTCCGTGACGTGAAGTAAAGACAAGGTAAATGATGAATCTACAATCGCGAGATCACAGGTGGATTTAACAATTTTTATTATAATCTTCTATTGGCCGGCGTTTTTTAAGTACTCTTAAGCATGATACTTTTGTGATCGTTACAGAGACGTGTTTCGCTTTGCGCGTTTTTTTTTTTTTTGCGTCTCATTGTGTCGCGAGCGATCTTGACTGTACTCGTAACAGCGAAGCTCGCTTACCCCACTTCGATGTAGTGGCAGTGTAAGTGATAACGTCGTGCATCGCTTTCAACATCAGGTCACGATGCCAAAGATCTTTTTGATCAAGAACCGACTGCATCAGCAGTTGCGGCTGCTGGAATCGCAACATACCAGCAAGAGCCCACCACTTGGCAGCGGCAAGGACAGCCCGTTTGGCAGCTCGGAGCCGCTAAGTCTCATAGTCAACAAGGATCAATGTAAAAACATTTTACTTATAATTAAAACGGAAGATTGAAACCGGCGTAATTTTGAGGATTTCTACGTATATTTGGCAACAGAATTGGAATTGCTATTAGAAACTGCATCGATTGATATAATTGATATTGATTGTAATATCTATTTTTCCTTAAAATTGAACTCACCGAAATTACACCGGTTCTAATCTATCTAAAGTTTTTCACATTTTAATGATCGGGAAGTTCTTTGAACTACACATTTTTCCTTCGCGTTTAGCATCGTCTTTTTTCCAATTTTTTAAATATCTGTGAATGGATTTAAAATTAAAAGTTTGTACGTGCGTCAATAATCAATCCCCAATTTGTCGTAAAATTTTTATATAAAAGTTTAAGCTCTTTCTCTCTCTCTCTTGCATTGATTAAAACAAAACTTTTTTATATCACGAACTAAAAGAAAAGTTTGCATTACACTTTAAAATTAAAAATGTAACATAAAGATTTTAATGAAAATTTGGCAAATTAAATTATTATTAGGATTGCAGAATACCAAAAAGAAAAAAAAAACGCAAAATGGAGACAAAGATATTGTTAGATTAGATTAGAGTAATGAAAAAGAAAATGTTTAAAAGTTCTAATTGGTCTTTCTGCGACTTTGCATAGAAATAAAATTGTTCAATTGCTATAGCGAATTAATCGAATCGATCAATCGGATGCATTATAAAATGTATGAATACGATCGTATTACATTAGGAATATATCTGTGATAAAGAGATAAATAGCCGGGAGTACGTATTAAATCGCGGTGAAGAAGCTCTCGTGTATCTATATGACGCATCTGAAATGCGTCATTATTGGAAAGGGATTAATAAGGCGCATAAGACAATTATCTTCATTTTTTTGGTGTTGCGTACACCGGCAATTTGGCATGCCGATTATTGGCATTACGAATTCATACGCGGAGCCGTTGCATGTAAAATGAAGATATGGATCTCGACACAAGTTTACTCCTCAATGTAGCCCATTGATAAGTCGAACTATCGAGGCCCGGGTGCAAATGCAACTTTGTGGCTTCCCTCTCGTTACGGCTCGCCGTAACCTGCCGAGCAAAAAAAAAAAAAGAAGATAAAGGAGTGAAAGGGAGAGACAGAGAGAAGAGCACCCTAAAATGTTACACTTCTGCCGCAGGTGCGGTCGTCTTTCGGCATACAGGTGCGATTGCAATTTGTATACCTGGTTCCGGGGACATTATCGCGCAGTTGCGCGTTTTTTGCTTTCGTGAACCATTAACGTGCTCATTATGCTAATTATTCGCATATGCCTATTTTTGACTCGCTATATTCAATCTTTGCAAAAATTGGACGGTTTCCTCACACAAGCATCTCAATCGTGTAATTTCGCATCCGTGGAAAGCTAATTTTATCTTTATCTGTGGGATTTCCATGATATCCCTTTATCGGTTACCGCGCGCGCGAATATCTTTCTTCACCGTAATGTTATTTAATGATTCATTTACCGGGCATTCTCCACTAATAGCTTGGCATAATCAGCAATACATAGTTACAACATCGAGGAGGAAAAAAAGAAATTCTCGTCGCCGATCTGTCATTCGGCGTCGAGTAACGACTGACCTTTGACAATTAGCGCATTTGTCCGCGTATTTGTGTACAACACGTGCAGTTAATTATATGAATCGTTGCTTTGCGCTGAACGCACGCGCGCAATTGCATAATGACGTTCGCGTCGCAGGAACGGTTTCGTCCGAAGCAACGGTTATCCTGCCAGCCGCGCCGATGAGGAACGGTATAGTGAGTTAAATGGCCGTAAACGCAATTGAAATTTGTACTCGCCGCAAATATGCGCACGACGATCGTATTTAATGTACGCATTAGTAGTATCGAAGTCGGCTGAGTTTGCAATAATGACATAGCGATTTCGGGAATTAAGAACGTTATTTTAAGGATGTATTGTATCGAAATATATTTCTGAAAGATGCACTTGAACGCAGATATATACTCGTCTATTTGACGAAATATTTGTCTCTCATCTTCGTTTATTTGCATCTTCTAATCTTTTTTTCAAGCGCATATATAACTATTATCGTAAATCGTTACGAGTATGTGTAATTATTTCTTCCTCATTTACAGTTGTCGTAAAGATAAATCAGTATAACGTGACGATTGCGTGAAAACGCGTGCGCGATGGGGCGTCTCGCTGCTTAAGTTTCGTTACATAATTCACGGCTGATTTTTCGTTTGGCTATTATAGTCCTCGGGCGTTTGTCTAGTCGAGGTCGATCCAGGGTGGTACTTTTACAACGGTATAGTGAGTAGTAGGTGGGAACCGAATGTAGTCCTAAAACTGGTTTAGGAAAGTGACCGAACAGAGAGCAGCTTCTCCTTCATTCCTTTTTTTTTCATCTTTTTCTGTTTCTCGCTTCCCCCTCGCTACCCTCTCGCTTTCCGCCCGCCCCGACAGCCTCTGATTCTCGTTTTGCGTCAGGTTGCCACGCTCACGAGAGCACGAATAATGCGCGAAACGCGGTGTCGATGGCCTTTTACTCCGGCGATCACTATGCCCCGTCGCAGGTGCACGAGTTCCTCTCCCGATCGGTGTGCGCGGTTTTATCACTAATTATATATATATGTTAATTATAAATATTTATATTTAACGCGCGCGAAAACGATTATTTTGTATGCCCGCGTGCATCATTCCCAACTTATCGTTCCGGCCTTTCGGCCGTCTCAATATTTTATCGCTATTTATTCGCATGGCGTGTTTGACCGACGCAGCTGCTCAATTAACGTATCAGTATCCAATTAAGTAGTTTATCGTCTCTCGAATTTTACGACTCGCGTATATAAACCAATCTATTAAACGTGCATCATTTGGAGAGTATTTTTCTCATCCGCGTATGAGGCGGCTGTTTAGAAATGTGATAATAAATATTGTTATCTTTGACGCGAAGATTCACGCGCGCAATGAGCCGTAAAAGTCTCTTCGCGATTGTATACATCTTTATTTACATTTTTCCGCGTTGGCGATCAAACGGAATACACTGACGTGTACACGCAAGCTATTCGTAAAGCTACATCATTCGTGTAACGTTTCTCTCGCTTGTATTATAATGAACAAGCCAATATACGTATACGTTCCGATGCACGCTGCGCGCCGGAACGGAGACTTTGATGCTCGCATAAGTAATGCGACGTGCTTCAATGTTGGGTTGGGACAGAATTTTCCTCGAATGATAATTCGAGATAAAAAACATAAGAGATTTAACTCTTTTTCTGTTAAAAGAGTGTTGAAATACATGAAGCTTTCATCTAAAAATCTCTAGCTAATATTCAATAGAATTTTAAAGATATATTTAATAGTGTATTGGAAATTGATGTGCATTAATTAAAAATATATTATTGTTTTTGAATAAAACAATTTTTTTATTTTTCCGAAAATATAATTTATGATAATATTCATGGAACTCTTTTAACATCGAGCAAATATTTTTGTGTTTTTCGAATATGGATTTAAATATATATGTATTGGTAAATTGATGTATTTTCTTTACAGAACAATAAAGTTGAACAAACGCATATCATACAAAAATCTTGCATTTAAAAAAATTTTTTTCTCTCTCTTCTTTAAGATCACAAAGTTTCATGTATGTCACTTGATGAATAAAACTGACTTACGTGACATAACTATCCTATAAGCGTGCAATCTTGGACGTATTTCTTTTACGAATTCATGGCCGTGGCCTTAAAATAGCGACGATAGATTGCTTTTATCACGAATGTTAATGAGTTTTGTGGATTATATTTGGCATGACACTGTTGGGCAACTGGACTTGCTTTCCTGTCGCGTCCGTTAGAGCAGGAACCTTCGGTTTCGTGCGAAAGTTGCGCAACGCAAAGCATATAAACCTGCTGTCAGTGATCTCTCGCGGTCTCCGCGACGGCCAAGGCGATCGTGCCGGCATTAGAATCTCGCTGTGGCACGTAGCAACGAGTGGTAGGGTACGGATAGAAGGACATAAGCACAATCTCGCAGTCACTGACTAGAAATTCAACAAAGAGTACGGAACTCGTTGGAGTCCCCGACGATTTTATCGTCGACTGTGAATTCATCCGAATTTGTTATGAAATTTAAAATCCTTTTATCTAAAATATATATCTTTTTCACGATCTCTTTCAACATTACTTTTTGGCCCTCCTTCTTCATACATTTAATTATGGATAAAATATTTTAATATTGTTGCGAATAATATTATATTTAATAATGTAATAAATGTCTGATTTGATACCTTTAAAATTTGTTTGTGTTTATAAGAGGAAAAGAATAATACATATATACATATATGTACATATAGAAAAATTTTATCACAAATCATAGAATTTCTTAAATTTAAATATTCTTGGTACGCAATAACATGCGTGTCTGGATATACGAGAATGTTAATTGGATGCAAAATCAGTTCCTTTTAATTTTTAATTTATCATACAAACTGGATGTTTCCGAGATGTTTACACTTTTTATAATAATCGAGATTCGTAAAAACAAATTCATCTTTTTATAATTGGACATACATTACTTATATTTATATTTTTTAATAACGCACTGACACTTGTACTATTTTTAGGGCGCGTTATACGCGTGTGTAACTTTTTCTTAAATTCTTTGTCCGTGTATGTATAATTCTTCCTAACAACTACAGCACTAGAATTTTAATGCGTTTCGCGTCGGTAGTTTCTCGATCGCAGCGTCATTCTGGATCAAGCCCGGAGCCCGGACTGCGCGATGTATTTCACGCGCGCGTTTTATGCAATTGCAGTGCGACGCACGCTCATTCTACTTGTTAGCCATACCAAAAAAGGATTGCTATATCTGTGTGTGTGTGTGTGTGTGTATGTATGTATGTGAAATGCGTTAAATTTGACGCGATGATGGGAGTCAATAAGACCGACACACACACAATTGGTCGTATAAATTGTGCATCGTGCTCGTATATAATTATAATATCTTTC